GTTGTATGGATTAACTTTTAGATCTCACCGTATCGCATCGAAAAAAAAAAACAAAAAAAAAATAATAACAAAAATGTTCGACAAATGTCGAGTTTTGTAAAAAAAATTTCAAAATAAAAACAAAAATTTTGACTTTGGCTCAAATCAAACTAATTGTAAGGCACACAATCACTCGCCTGTTAAACAAGGTCCTAATGATAACTCTATGTTGTACGGTTCCGAAGTTATAATAATTTTTATAATATGCAGAAAAAAAAGATACCGGACTTTAGAAAGAAAGAAAACAAGTATTTCTGCACCCCCCCATACAATTTTTTACTGAAAATTGATCGAAGAATTATTCAAGTTATTACAAACTCCATACCAAAGTTAAGGCGCCCTTCAGTACTACATTAAAGTGCAGGGTGTAATAAAGAATATCTATTTTCTTTAATATAAAAAAAAATATATGTTTTTACTTATATGTAGTTTATTATGTTTTATTGAAGCATATTAAAGTGAGTTATAATAACAAATCTTTATATTTTAACATATGTATATACATATGTACATATATGCATGTACATGTCCGAATATTGTCAATAACTACTTAGCACTTAATACTTTCCTTAAATAACCATGTTAAACAAACTTAATTAATATACTAATGCGTGCATTAAGTTTCATCACAAATCATATACATACATATGTATATGCATTATATACCGAATCTATAATTTATGGTTTTGTGCAGAAGTACAAAACCTGTTAGAAGTCAAAATATTAATACATTTATACACACTTTCCTTTGGACAAGAACTACGCTTCCCTTTCTTTAGGCAAGAACACGTTTCCTTTTAATAATACAGGGGTATTCAACCAATTGCCACTTCTCAAATGAGGCGCTCAGCAAATTATTAGCCTATCGAACATTTTTGCAAAAATGAGTTATTATGTTCAATAGAGCTGTAATTGCCTGAAGAATTGTTCTATAATTTAAAAATACTTAGTTTACCCCTCCTTTCACTCTATTTTGACATGAGTTCGTTTTTACCTTTTAAAAATTTTCTTAAAAAGTAAATATTTAAATATTTCAATCAAATATTTAAATCAATATACATAAATATTTAAATATTTCAATTAAAAATTTCAATTCACTTGAAATGTCATTTTTGCAAGCAGGCCACTAATGTGCTGAGCGCCTCAAATGTGACCGATAGTTTTAATTTTATGTACATATATACATATGTACATATTATGTACAAGTATAAAATTTACTTTGGTATGATTATTGACGAACTATCACAAAGTCTAAAATTAGAAGCAATTACAAAATAAGTACATACATACATACATATGTATGTATGTACATACATACATACATATATAATTTCGTCCTTTAAATTATTTTAATGTAAACCGAAAACGTCGCCCTGATTTTACGGGCATTGGAACTTGTGTGAGATTATACATGGGTATGCGAACCCACTAAACTTTATCAGCACTAAATTTTTAAGAGTCAAAGTATAGATCTCATATTATAGACAAAAGATTTCAAAATTTTTCTTTTTGTCTCAATTCGAAGTTGCGATACAGTAACTATTTAATATAATAAATATGTATGTACATAAGTAAAAACATTTCGGTCGATCTGAACCGGCTGAACTATACCCTTGGCAATCAAACTATAAAAACATGTTTTTGAAATATTTAGGACTAGCTTACATGGCAGCTTGTATGGCTGTCACTCAAACCTGTCAAACTATTTCAGAAAAACTTCCGAATATGTCTGACTTATAATTGGACCAATGATTGGCAAGTTTTATGAATGTAACCTTAATATTTTTCCGAATATTTAAAATCAGCTTTTGGAATTGTATGTTGAATTAAAATAATTGTATTTTGAATTTTGGAATCCAAACCATTTCATAAAAACTTCGAGGATATATCCCCGCTATAATTGGACATATGACTGGCAAATCTCATCAACCTAACTTTATTATTTTTCCGAATATAAGTATAAAATTGGCTTGTGGAGTTATAACTCCAAAAATTAGCTTTTGGAGCAGGTACTTGAAGCAGCGCTGCCACTCCATTAAAATTTTAGAGCATATTTAGAAAGTAATTAGACACACGTGCACAAAGTTTCGAAGAAAAGTTTTACCTATGTATATCATCCTCCCCCTTCCCCCACAAAAAGTTATAGCCCCTAAAAGACCTAAAAATACCATTTTTGACTACTTATTTTAAAGAAACCATACACATTTTTCAAATTTTTTTAACACAGAAAAGCACTATTGGGTTCTCTCTGCCGACGCATACCATAATTAAATATTAAACGAGAAAAAGTAGAATTGGCCGTGTCAACTCTGTGATACCCGTACGAATTTGTTATCCTATGTGCGAATAAATACGCCATAGCTAACGATAGGACAGACTAATGGCTTTAAGTTGCCGTATTACCACATTAATTTATGCAAAATTTCAATACTGTGTTTTTAATATTTTCTAAGATATGGCCAAACTACGTCTCAAGTTGCATGGCAGCTATCAGGAAGAGCTAAGCAATTTCAATGAATTTTATCAAACATATTGGCCCTACTAATATCCTCACAGCTTTTATAGTTCCTGAGAAAATGTCAAATAACTTTAGCAGTTGTATAGGAGCTACCCGAACCAGTACTCCGATCACTCCCAATTTCATAGTGTTCTGGCTTTTACTACAATAAATCATTTGTGTACATTTATTGGTGAACTTAGCTTAATTAGTTTTTGAGTTATTGTAGGAACAGACGCACGAACAGACAAAGCTAAATCGACTCAGAATTCAACGCTGATCAAAAACATACGCTTGAGTCTATATCTCAGACCTTAGCGTTACAAACGGCAAGGCAAATTTAGATTATTGTTCAAACATACGTTTATACGAATATAAAAATAAAAATGAATAATTAAAATAATAGTTATAATAATAAACAAACCAGTGTTCACCTAGTTTTGGTTTAAGAAAAACTTAAACAATATTTATTTTTCAAACAAAAAATTTAGGTTATACCTAAAATGCATTATACTTTTTTCCAAAATGCGTTATAAGAAAGCACAATTAAGAAATTTAAGAGCGTCCACTTATTAAAGAAAACGATATGAGAATCCTATAATTTTAATTACAGAAAGTATAAGTTTGTTCTTATTTTAATTTTTATTTTCACAAAACACTTCACTCATCACATCACGGAAATAGAAATATTGTTAATGATAATACAGAAATACATATAATAATAAAGTTGGGTCAAACCAATGGTTTGTATTGTAGCACTTTTCCCTTCAACAAGTGAAAATTCTGCTTTTAAATACAGTCTATGTACGTATAGCTATCACACTATTAAAATTATTTTCATTCATATACAAAACTATTTCTATGATTGCATATATTTAGGATGACGCATATATGCAGTCTTTGAAAATAAAGCAAAAATTAATATAAAAAGGGGTTAACATAATGCTCGATTTTAAGGGTTAATTGTGTGAGTTAAGAAAAATAATTATATTTTTTAATGTCACGGAATTTACCGTTAGCTTTTTGCGTTTATAAAAATTTGGAAAAGCTTGCGGTTTCGGAAATATAAGGTGTCAAAAATTCAAATTTTACGAATTTCAAGAGGTGATAACTTGAGAGGGGGTGGAGATGGAAAAAAATTTTCTTCTAACAAAATGAACTATTTATTAATATCTAAAAGCTCCTAAAATTTCAAGCTTCTACAGTCTGGGGTCTAGAAGAAAAACGACATCAAAAATTTGGAAAAAAAGGACTTTAAATAACGGTAAATTTGAGCGGCCATTTTGTTTTTCTTAAGTTGAACTATAGTATACCGCGCAAGGGGAAGCAAGCCACTGCCTTTCTGCGTTTGCAAAATTTCCAAAATGCTTATGGTTTCATTGCAACAAATATTTAAAAAAGGCCATTTTTAGGGTTTTGGGGGGTATAACTTCTAGAGGGGGGGAGATAGGTAAAAATTTTGTTCTACGGAAATAAGTTTCTAGTGAAGATCTATGTACGTATTAAATTTCAGCTTTCTATCTTCAAAGGTGTAGAAGTTTTGTAAACAGACACACGGACAGACGGACGGACGGACGGACGGACGGACAGAGTGAAACTAATAAGCACTTTTTTCAAAAATTTTTTTGGAAAAGTGCTAAAAATACTAACTTTTTTAGCGGGAAAAATTTGTTTTGGCGATAAAGTAATCTAGCTCTAGGGGAACTAAGAATGGGAACTCAGGTGGTTTTCGTTTTTTGGCGTAAAATATATTTTGCCCTCAAGTCTAGGTTTAGTGGGTCTATTCTATCTCCAGTCTATTAATCTAGTAGGTCTATTTGTTGAATGCATGTTACATAATATACATAAAACTTAGTATGTGCATAAAATATTACAAACATTTTTTCAGTCTAATGTCATATACATATATCTATCAGGCCACCATGCTCCAAGAGCAAATCAAAAATAAATTCCAAGTTTATATTGGAATCTATTTCCTTCACCCAAATAAAGTCCGACCGGCTTCCATTTCTCCATAATAAATTTGGAATTTATTTTAGATTTGCTCTCTGAGCATGATGACTTGATAGATATATATAGTGATAGTTTTTGAATAAAAAATTGAATTTAAAAATAAATCGACTTTGATGGCTTTTAAAACTATACTAAATAAAATGAGAATCACAATCAAAAATTTTACAAAAAAAAACAAAAAGATATTTCAATCGGCATAATTCAAAAACAAAATATTAAGAATTGTTTTTGTAATTTTATCCGAATCAAAATTTTGGAAAATAATTTTAATTTGGTGGCCTCATAAATAAATGTGATATTAGCTCAGTCAAAAAGAAAATCTATAGAATGTGGTATATATTGCATATACACACATTACGAATTTATATTGCAGACCCTATAAAACACACTAATGTGTGACTCAATTTGATGTAGAGATAGCATGTGATTCCAAAGTTGAAACAAATTTATTTTCATAATTTACTTTACTGTAAATTTTATTTTTCTTTTCAAATAAAAAAGTTCCTTGTAATAACGAAAATATATGTATACAACAATAAACCAAAACAAATATTTACAGAATTCTAATCGGCTTTCACAGTTCCTGGCTTTTCATAATTAATAGCAAAATCTCTAATAGAATTTTCTAATGACTTTAATTGTTCAAAAACAATTTTTCCTTCTTCAGATTCACCTCCAACGCTTAAATACTTTAACACTAAATCTGAAATACAAAATTAAAAATTAAGAAAAAAACTAATAAATGCCTAATTTTAAAGAATTGAACCGTGAAATTCCATGAAATTTTTGTTCTGCTCATCATTAAAGTTCGGCTTTAAGAAACTTAAAATTTGCGATACAAAACGCCCAGACGCATGTAAAATACATCCCGTTACAGTTGAAAATAAAATTAAAGTTGACAAGTGCAAAATTAAAGCTGGGTCTTCTGTGTCTTTTATTTGCTCTATCAATTTTTCTTTATGTTGATGCATTAATAACCTATCACGCTTTTTATCAATTTTTTTTGTAATCATACTACATGCCTTAAGAGCAATATCTGAAGCTTCTAAAAATTCTTCAAGTGTTTTATTTAATGATTTGTTCAACTCAAGAAGGGCTGTTTTATATTCAGCATCTAAATGATAACACATTTATTTACATATGTATGTATGTATTTCTTAAAATATAAATTTTTAACTTACCGCATTCTTGGATAATTTTATTTCTTTGATCGATATTTAAATTCGCCGGATTTTTCACATTCACATTACACTCATTTGCTGCATAAACAACCAATTCGTTGCAAATGTCATTACCAAGAGATTTTAGCAGGTATTTAACTAGTTGAGTTTGAGTATCATGAGGTAACAACTAATAAAATTTTTAGTAACATCAATTATATAAAAATTATAAGTAAATTGGTTTAATGGTAATTTTTTTTAAATTAATGAATCTCATTTTACCTTTAAACCCTTTTCATATAAACGAATATCATTTAAAAGAGTATTAATGCGATCTTGGAGTTGGGAATGTGTTTGTCTTCTATTTGTTTGAGGTGTCGATTCAAATAGTGTTTGTGCTGTTACTAAGGCCTTTTGATTTAAATCCCTAAAATTTATTATGTTGCATGTTTATAAAAAAATCAATTTAAAATATTTATGCTATTCTCACGCGTAATATAACTTCGCAATGTGTTTTCGCAAATCTTCTAAGCCTTCTTCTTCTAACTTCGGCTTTATACACTTTTCAATTTCGTTTAATTTTACAAGTTCCAGAACTTTATTTGAAACTTTTAAAGGTTTTTCATCTTCTTCACTATCATTATTACGGCTTTTATCAGCTCCACCACGATGTTTCTTGGTTGATTTCGTTTTTGTTTCGCGACCCTGCGAACCTCCTCCAGCTTTACCCGCTGCGGCCTTTTTACGTCGTTCATCGCGTTTATCAGTCTTTAAAATAGTAATATATAAAACTTTTATTTACAGTTTTTCTATTATAAATTTGAAATTAAACCTTTGAATCTATTTCAAATTCTTGGACTGAATTTCCTCTGTTGCTTAATTGTTTTGCAGCAATGTAAGCTTGATACTGGCCACTATCCACAGATTCCTTCGCATTTTTTTTAGAAATTTCTATACAAGGTTCAATAAGCTCCGTCAGGTATTGTGAAGAAAACACTAAAATTTTTAATGTTTAAACCTAATAAATCAATAAAAAATTAGCGTTACCAGTATTTTCTATGAATACAAAGTTATAAGAGAGATGTTTCGAACTCATAACCGCATTGAAAAGCTCTTCAATATCTTCTTCATCTATATTACTTGGTAGAATCGTTGACAAATCTACATAACTTTTAGTTGCATTACATTCATTTAAAGCAGAAATAACAGTTAAATCTATAATTTTTGATCCCACAACACAATTTTTTAAGAACATCATTTCCTCATTTGGTAAAACCTTTTTTATAAACTGTTTGGCATCAGATATACCTAATTTCGACACAGCTTCGTACTCAAGAAAGCCGTTATTACTATAAAATGAGGTAACCCACTCAACCTAAAATATTTGTTATAATTTTGAAAAAAGGTACTACAACTATATAAACTATATAAATACCTGCATTTTAGAATAAATATGTGGAATATATTGTGCATTAATCTGTTTTGAAGTAAATGTTCCTTGGGAGGAAAATTCATCGCATAGCGAATAGAAAATTTTTTCAGGTACATTTATATGCTGCAAAATGGCTGACACAGAAATTGGTTGAGTTATAGCAGTCAAAGCTCCACGTATTTTAGCCCTGCATCTCTGAATATATGCTTGTGTAAAGAATACTCTTGGATTTCCCGGATCTTGCCTACCTTTAATTATTCCTCCTAAATGTTTCTCTACTACATTGGTTTGTAAAAATTCTGAAGGAAGATCAAATTGCAGTGTTAAATCTGAAACAGATATTTCGCCTTGTGCCGCTAATTTTTCGTTGATTTCATGAGCTATTGTTTCAATATAAGTTTCAGTAATAAATTGTCCTAACATAAAGTGAATGCTATCATCCTCTTTAACAATTTTCTCCCCAATGTCATTTAACTTTGAAGGAATAAATATCATGTGTAATGTTTGATTGTAAAGCTTAGAAATGTTTGAAAAGTTATAGGTACCTACCTTGCTTAAGTCAACATTTAAAATTTTAGAAAGTTCAACTAAATTAATGCGACCTCCATGTACATATAGTTCATCCAGTGTTTCTCTTTCTAAATGCTCTGGAGTTATATATTCCTTTCCGTCGGTTGTAAATACGACATTAATTAATTTCTTTTCAATTAATAAGGTAACTATTTCAACACAATTTCTTTCTGATAACCTACATGTATTTATATGAGATTTAAAAAAATTTTACTACTTTATTATTTCACCTTTGTAAATTGGAAGATGATTGAACTTTCTGAAAATCTGAAGCTAATCTTTTAATTTCATCCCAATTAGAAGACATTTTTTATTTAAAAGGAAAAGTTATAAATTCCAAGCTTAGTAAGCAAAGCAACGTCAACAAATCTTGCAAGTCTAATTTTCGTGTTTTCATTTTCCATCCAAATGACAAGTCTCTGTTACTCTTTGACATTTATTTTTGTGCATTTACTTTGACATAACTTCGTTTTATGTAGTATTATGGTGTAGTTATGCGTTTACGTCAATTATGATATTTTAAAATTTTGATATTTATTTCTAATTACGAAATTATTCAAACAATTTTGTTTTTATTTGTTGCACTTTTATAAAAATTTATAATTTTATTCTGTTGTCTCCAATATTTAATAGAAGAATTTTTTTATATAGATCAAAATGAAATGTCTGTCAAAGATAAAATTCTCCTTAAAAATTGTCCTCAAGGCATATTTAATAAAATGTAACTGAGTTATTTTTTTAATTTTTGTCTCACAAAGAAACCTATTGAATTAATTGAGTGAATGATCTTATGGCCAATCTCACTCAATTTTGCGCTATGACATTTCTATCTAGATTATTTTTCGTTGTAATAAATTATAATTCATTATAAGGAATTTATTAGTGATTTTGGATAGACCTTAATGCTAATTAATTTATTTGCTAAGATGGTTTTATTTTGTAAAGTAGAATAAAGAAATATCTGAAAAATTTGTTTGCATGCGCATATATTATTGCGAGTGAGTGCTGCATAGCAATCGAATGGCATAATATTATAAAAGCTCTTCATGCTGCAAAAACTAAATTTTGCTTTTCCTTTTAAAATTATAAAATTTATCTTGTGAACATGCTTTTACCTAACCAAATTTTAACTCAATTTTTTTCCGAATTGTATTAATTTTCTTTGACTTTGTCATAGTTATAATACTTTGACGTTGTCAAAATATAAATATAATTTTTTGAATAAAGTCAACATAATATAATTGTAAGTTATTTTAAAACTATTCTCACAGGTTTTGGATTTTGTTTGATAACTGTCAACTTATGTTATACGCAAATGTTGTCTCTGTTAATGTCACTGTTTACATTAATGAAAAAATCTATGATTTGAATAAGGCAACCATATAAAAGAAATTTTTATTTAAAATAAATATAAAGGAAATGAAATATTTAAAATACTTCTTCGAAATAAAAAAGCACAATTATCGAGAGTTTGTTTAATTATTAAAATTCGTTGCTTTTACGAAAAACTAGACTACATACTTGACTCTTGACATTGAAGTGACAATTTGAATTTGACAATTCTTTGGCTTGAAAAGGAGATTTTGTTCAAATTTTTGGCTTCGTTGTTTTTTCCAGATGTATCATTTGTAATTCTTTGGCTCTGTTCAATGAAATTTTTTCGGTAAACAATTATAAAAGACGAAAATGGAACTTTATTTTTCCATTTTCTTGCTAAAACAGAAAAAACGTGTTTTGACAGCTTTAAGATTTAAAAATTTTTAAAACACTAAATTTTACTTTACAAAACTTGGAAAAACTCTTAACATTTAGAAATTGATAACGTCATTCTCTCATTTTTGTTGAAAAAGTATTACACCAGACATTTTTTGTTTTACGTTTTTTCTAAATTTCTAATTTAAATATTTTGAAGTTAATAAAATAAACTTTCACAAAAGTACTGTGGCTTATAATAAATGGTTTTATAATTTAAGTTTATATAGAAGAAAAATATACAAAATATCTTCATATAGAAAATCGGAATGGTGCTATTAGATTCTGTTTGGGGCATTAGCAAATTTTTTATTTGAAAATCAGCTGGTTAAAAAAGTTCTGGCAGTGCTGCATAAGAAACAACAAAAAAAAAAACGTAAACAAGCTAGTAGTAAATTCTCTTAGTTTAAATGAAAAAAATTAAATTATAGTAATTTAGGATTTAAATGCCATGGAAATAAATAAAATTTTTCAAAAAATTTTTGGGGAACAAATTTTTGAAGGCTCATTAGGTGATAATGTCGAAGAAAAAAGATTATTAGACTCTGTATTTCCAGAGTAAGTATTTCGGTTTATTGAATTTTCCAGGTTTAGGATAATCCTTTTCAAATATCTAACACAAAAAAGCTAATCTAAAACGAATGGATTTCTTGTCTAGATAACTTGCTTATTTAAATTTGTTTTAATTCTCTAGGCAAATTGGACATATAAATTATTGGTTAGATGCTAAACTACAACAAATAGAAGAACAAACAAATAATATTCAACGACCAAATAAAATTGGACCTGAAAAAGTTGTTTTTGACATACAAGAATTTCGAGAAAATGTAGTTCAAGTATGTTCTGATAGACTTACTTTAAAGTCTCATGGGACCTTTAATACTGTAAAAGCAAACGCATGTGTTTATGGAGGAAAATGGATGTATGAGGTAAAATTCTAATTTATGTTCACCATTCAGAGTATTGTTTAACAAAAATACCTTAATGATAGGCACGTACATAAATATAATCATATTTGATTAAAAAATTTACCTTTTTTAAAAGTGCATAGATACATACATATATATAAGTTCAAGTTGGCTGTATATTTTTTGAGCTTAACGTACATATGTACATATATTTCGTGGGTTAATAACCCCAAAAAGTTAAAAGTTGTGTTTTATTAAAAAGTTGTGTAATCATACTTATTAAAAAAAAATATAGGTCATAATATGTTTATACATATTTATACACTTTTATATATGTATGTATATAAGTAAAAATAATTCGAAAAAAACTTGTAATAGGTTTGTATTATTCGACGGGAATATAGATGTCCGTCTTATTTTATTTGAATTCTTATATTACAGTTGGAATAAAGAGCCTCTTTCCAAATAATAGTTTGAATTATTGATCTGCATTCAGCTGATCTTTGTTTTAAACTGAATTGATTTGTAGAAATTAAAATATAGCTAGTACCTGCCACGAAAAAGCTTTTATTGTGGTGGTATGACGTTATTATGGTACATACATATATTACCGCAAATATCATGAAAAAGAAAACACTTCATAGATGAAGAAATGCTGGAAATAATAATAATGTACAAATATAATTGATGAAATTGTGCTTTATGAAAGCTTTTGATTTTAAATATGATATTTTATTTGAGCTGCGTCAGGCCTTCGATAGCTCAGTTGGTAGAGCGGTGGACTGTAGAATATCACTTGTTTGATGAACAAATCGGATACGGAAGCGATTTCGTAACGGTTAGTTGTAAACAAAATTGCAGTAATCCATAGGTCACTGGTTCAAATCCGGTTCGAAGGATATTTTTTTTTTATATTTTATTGAGTTATTTTATTTTAATGCAAAATAATTTTTTGAAACAAAAGCCAAATTAATATTTACTTTATTAAATTAACAAAATAAAAATACATTAGGGGTCAAAATATGGAGAATTAAAGCTTTTTCATATATGTTAACATTAAAATGACTCACTGCGCGATATAATTATTGGTATAATAAAAGTGATAATAATAAATGAATGAAAAAATGTTTGATGTAGCTACTTACTACAGATAAATATAGAAGCTAATCAAACTTTTTGAAATAAATTATAAAAACGCTATACTTAATATGCAAAGCAAGTGATGATGATTTCATTTTTCATATTTTAATGAGAAAATAAAAGAAATAACAAAACTTTCAAGCACATATTTATGAAATTACGCTTTGCAAGTATTTTGTTTGAAAATGAACGCAATTGCAATATACCTTCGATAGCTCAGTTGGTAGAGCGGTGGACTGTAGAAAAGATCAGAATGTTTAATTTACAAATCAGTTAAAGAAGCGATTCTTTGGTTGATGGGTAGTAAACGTATCGCAGTAATCCATAGGTCACTGGTTCAAATCCGGTTCGAAGGAACTTTTTTTTTTGTTTTTTTTTTTTTGAATCTTTGCGTAAGAAAAATAATTCACACAAATAATTAATTTTTTAATAACTTGAAATTTTTAAAATACTGGAATACTAAATAATTTTCTATTTTAGATACAACTTCATACTAAGGGAGTAATGCAAATTGGTTGGTGCTCAAACAAATGTACTTTTACAGCAGATACAGGTGTTGGTGATACAAAATTGAGTTATGGCTTCGACGGTAGTAAGCAACAAATTTGGCACGTTCATACTTCAAAATATGGGGAGAAATGGCAGTCTGGAGATATATTAGGTATTTGTTTGGATGTTGACGACGAAACTATAGAATACTATCGTAACGGGGTTTCTATGGGAGTTGCCTTTAAGACAATTGAAAAAGGACCTGGTATAGCACTTTATCCGGCTGTGTCATTAGCATTTAATGAAGCTTTACGCGCCAATTTTGGTAGTTCTCCTTTCCGATATCCTGTTAAAGACTTTAATCCACTGCAACTTAAACCAATCATTGAGTTACAAAAGTCAGATTTGTTATTGGGATATATAGTTAATTTAGCTGGAATATTATCTAGTTCCAAATACCGAAAAGATAAGCTAGACATAACGAGAAAGTCTTACAGAGAAGGTAGTAAAACTGAGAATAAGAAAACTGGTTACATTTTAATATCGTCATTGTTAGTTGAAAAACTATCAGTAGTTCTTCTGGATTCATATGTCATAGAAGAAAAATTTATGTTATATGTGATGAATTTATGTGTTTTAAGGTAAAATTAAAGATTACAATGCTAATTAATTGTCACATAATCTTTCAGGAGTGATTCAGAAAAGGATACAGTTATTTTACCTGGTAGTGTTGAAAGTACGTTAGGAACATTGTTGTCATTATTTTGGAGCTACATGGAAGCAGAAGAAATTCAATATTTACTTAAAAATTTGTTAAATATTTTATGGAACATGTTTTCGCAAACACCAAAGGACTTAGAATATGAAAGACAGAGAAAAGTAATAGTTATATTAACATGTCTTTGCAATCATCCACAGACAAGAAAATTTTATATAAACACAAAATTCTTCAAAAAAAACTGGTAGGTTTTGGTACTTTTGGTTTTTTAAAAATATTTCATAAAGAATATTAGTCTTCCTATGTTCATGTACTTAAAACCACCCGAATATTCGGTTATGGTAAAGTTGTTACCAGATGAAGTAGTTTGGACTGAAGGTAATTTTAAATGCAAAATAAATTGTGAGAATAATTTTCACATACTTAGGAATCGGAGGAGCATTTAGCGATTACACCGCCATTTGCGATAAATTGAAAAAATCTGTTGAAATTCTGTATGGATTACAAAAGAATTTGCTAAAAATACTATTGACAAATGAAGATGGCACCAACAATTCGCCTTCAAGTCGGAAATCTTTTATTGTAAAACTAAGAAAATATGTTATGGAAAATAGTATAGAGCAAAGAGTTGAGTTTGTTAAAAGAATTATCTCATTTTGTTTATCGCAAAATTTAACTGAATTTTTTAGGCAATATTTTTGTTGCAAGGAAATTCGGTAAACTTGATAGAATCACCTGTAGCTCTATCGTTCTTATGTATACTCGTTGATACAACCAGAAGTTTATTCGAAAAAGAGTTAGGCGATGTAGATATTTTCATTGATTCAAAACATTTTTATGATGGCTCATTTCGTTATCAACACTTTGATAGAGTTGGAGGAGTTCTATCACACTTGAAGAAGGTTCATCGTTCTCAAATCCTACAACAATTAGGAGAAAATGGTGAAAATATTCTGAGTGCTGTAGAAGACAGGGATCTAATACGTATTGACGGCATTGAAGTTTGTATGTAAATCTTTTTAAAAAATCATATTTTGACAATTTTTTTTGAGTTTTTAGATTCACCTCCAATCGTACTTATTAGAAATTCTTCTGAATTGTCTACTTTTTTAGGGAGAGCTCAGGGGTATATTTCTATCCTTGTTTTATCTGTTACAAAAGCTTACTTTATTTTGTTTAGAGAAAGACGAGAATCAGATATTATTCAGTATGGAGATGCAGACTCAAGACAATCTTTAAGTGAATTACTTGATTTGTCTATAATATATTATTATGCTGTTGGGCATAAACATATAGTTAAGGTAATTTCGAATCCTTCTTCTTGAAAGCTTTTCTTTTGGCAATACTAACTTTGTTTTAGATTGCATCGATTCGAGATGAAATAGCTAATTTAACAGATGTACTATTAGAGACAAAAAGGTGCCGGGAAGATATAGAAGAGAATGTTCAAGCTTTGAGTAACGTGGCTGGAAATGGTTTCAATACTGTGCAGAATGAAATTTTAAATGAGTTAAAAGGAAAATTTGGACAAAGGAGTAGTGTTTTTGCAGTAAACTCTTTGGAATGTGCTAAAATTTCACCTTATAAACGTACGTATTTTATTATAGAAGCGATCAATTGAGCTAGGTAGGAAACAGGCGTGGTATAGATCAGTGGCGCTTGGAGAATATCGAAGAGAAATATTAATTTGGTTATTAGATAAAACTCTCAAAACATTGAAGGTATAAGCATTAAATATGTTAAGAAGTTAATATTTTTAATTCTTTTTGGTTTATTTTATAGTGCTCTTCGGAAACTGGGCCACTTTTTTCATTCGTACCTGAAGTCTACATAAATATCTTGCCAATTCTTTTAGATACAATTTTAGATTTTAGTTTTCATGATATTAGCATGCAATTTGACGTTTCAGGTAAAGAAAAGATTTACAATTTCAACTTATCTTTTTTTAAATTTTTTAGATGCTGAAAGTGTTGTCCAAATAGCGTCAGAATTTTTAGGATTACATGCGGCAGACCCTAGAATAATTTTAGCTTCATGTAAAGATTCCTTATTGCAAGCGCTTGGTACATTAACATGTCATGAAGCTGGAATAAAAGCAATGGAAAAAAATTCTTCTGCAAGGTTTTTATATAGTTTGATTTCTTTTGTGCTTACAATATAACGTAAAATAATTTTAGTCAATTGTCGCTAGTAATGGCTCTTTTGCGGCCATACGAAAATCGTGCATGGGGACAAAGCAACTGGCTACTGCTGAGATTTTGGTTAGGTGACGATCATGCATTCGCATACAAAGAATCCAGAATGCCAAGTGTTTGGCAAGGTGGAAAAGAATTACCCACTTTAGGACTATATCGGACTCGAAACAGAAATGAAACCCATACTGGATTGCTACACCATATTGCTCCAGCGTGTCCTTCGAGACACTTTCAAGTAGTGTACTTTATTAAGTATTAAATTCTTAAAATTATGCTAAATTTTTGTAGACCTTAATAGGCAAATACTTGACTGATGATGAGCCATTCGCTACAAGCTTTATGAATTCTGTTTTGTCGCAACTTAATTGGGCTTTTTCGGAATTTATATTATTACTACAAGAAGTAAAACAAAAAAAGAAAATTATAAAATAATTTTAAAAACCTGTATACTGTTTTAGATCCAGAATACATCCAATCGACAAGAAGGTCAAGAACTTGTATTTGAACCAAGGCAGTTAAAAATATGTTCAATGTGCTTTGAATTGACAGTTTCATTGATGCGATCTTTGGAAATGGTAATTCGGGTTGCACCAAGTATATTTCATGACCCTAATCGCGCTAATAGTGACTTAATATTAAATAGAGTTGCACAATTAATAAGCCAAGTATTATCTAGAGTTACAGTTCCGCCGGGATGTTTTCAACATGTTATAGATTTATGCTTACCAGATTTGAGTTCTGTGTCACATTTTGCAATTATATCCGCAGCTCTTGGAATATTATTAGCGTTGCTTAAAGAAGAAATAGAAATTAGAACGTTACCAGATAAAGTAAAATATCATATATTAACTATATTAATTAAGGTACTCTGAAAAAAACTTATTCATTTTAGATAACTCGTGTTAGCAGAGCCTTATTGACTGATCCCAGTTTTCAAATAGCTCACTTAGAATATACATTGGGTGAAGTGAAAACCCCAATACTTTACCAGGTAGAAATACCGAGGGGTAATTTTGACCCAAAAACACGTGCCCACATTGATCCTTTAACAAACGACGTTCGTGTACAAATGCCAACTACATCAAAAAAAATTAGATCTGATCCACCGATATTAAAATTTTCATTAAATGACTGTGAGAATATTTGCGATTTAAAAAAAAAGATTCGTAAAAGCTTTTTATTTAATTTTATTTAGATCCTTCACACGTAACAAATGAAGAAATAAATGCCGTCAAAAGATTGGTGGAAACACTTTCATCGAAACAATCTTTGTTGTCTGACATCACATTACCCTCTGAAGACTCGCTATGTCCCATATGTTGTGCTAAGCCTGTATCAGTTACATTTACACCATGCTTACACCAATCATGCAGGTATGAGTTCAAATGTTTTAGTTTAATAAAGGCAAAGGAAACATGAAATTACAAATTCATAAATTTTATTTCAGAAATTGTATTCTTCAACATCTAATGAATAGTAAAGTGTGTTTTTATTGTAAAACTCTAATAAAAGATGTTAAAAAGAGTGACGGTACAGTCATATTTATGAATGCTAATTACATCAATATACCGGAAGATGTTTAGAGAACTAACCCGAAAGCTTTTTCGATTCGCAACATCTTTTGAATTGGCAACTTATATTTGATTATCTGTTGAAAAAGAGTAGGAAAAACATCACATATATAATTTTTCGGATATCTCTCAAATTGCCTTGAATGTAAAATTATATTAAATTTAAAAGTTTTTAAGGAAAAAATGATTAAACTTGATGTTATACTTAATAGCGAATTATGAAAAATTTAAATTTTTAAATTTTAAGACGTATTTCAGACCTTTTACATTTTTTGAGATATTTTTCAATGCTCAAAATTTTTTTGTTGAAGTAAATTAAAAAAAGACAAGCACATTATTATATTATTTTGTAAGAATATATTACACTGCCCTTAAATTAATTTTTCGTAATATTAGATTTTATAAAAAAAATGTAAATTTACGTACATTCATGTTATGTACAAATATATATTGCTCACTGTTGGCTTGAGATTTTGGATACTCAAAATGATAATCAATGAGAAATTTATTATTATATAACTCGTTTATAATTAACTGTATTGTTATATAAACTTTGTTCCTGTTTAGATAATTTTTTAGCTGAAACAAATTTTAATTATTTGTTTACAATTTTGTGATAAAATCAAGCATTTAAAATGAAAGTGTTTTCTTTAAAAATTAAAAGTTAGTCACCTTAAGTAAAGCTCTCATCTTAATTTAGTTAAAAGATTTGCTTTTAAACATTTTTTCAAATTTTCAAGTAATATAGAATACAATTAAAGATCTCATTTTGATTCTGACTGTCGCTGTTTGTATATTAAAGAATTGTGTATATTTATTTGTAATTATAATATGAAATTTAAAAAAAATTGAAAAATAAAAAAATCAACACACTATAAAGAATTTTATTTGAAATTTACATAAGTAAGCAGCAAATTTTTGTAATACAGATATTTGCATTTTTTCCAGCCATTTACATCTTGTGTCTTAATATGAAGTTAATTTTGTTACAAAAAAAGTGCTTTCGAAAATTCAGTACATAATTTTCAAATGCGAAATCTTTTTCATAAAACTTGTAAAATTGTTTACTTACAATAGGATAGTATGCCTGATACTGGCGATGTTTACGTAATGAATTTGCAAAAGTGATGTGCATACATAGGCGATTTTCGATCATATAGTTATGCTCTTGAAGTTCTAACTTATATCTTACAATTTTTTTTGCATTATTTCAGGTATACAGGAATTAACTAGTTTACTTTTTTATATTTTTAATGTCTTACATTCTATGGGATTTTTTCAACCGTAATATACTTTTTAGATCTAAGTTAAAATTAAGTTGGTTTATAATAATGCATTGAATTTATAAAAACAAAAAGAAATATTGTTGCAAGGTGCCGGTAATGTTCAAAGACGAATCAATGGAGTGAATAAGAAAAGATATGAAAAACTGCTTTGGTTAAAGTTTAAAAAAATTCTTTACTTTGCGAAACATTAAATAAAAACTCCAAATTTTTTTAAAACTATTTCCAATAGCTTTTGCGTTATCCGTTGTATACTTATGCTTTTACGCACGGTATGCCAACTTCGAACAACTTTCTTTTTAAGGCAAAAAGCTTCAGCTCCCTGTCACTTATATTGACTTTTTTAAACGTAATATTTTAAGATTGTATTTTCAGTCAGCTATTGTAAATATCAAAACTAATGGAATTTTAAGGTTAAAGAAAATTCATAATTTGAACAAAAAATAAAAAAACTTGTTTAAAAAAAACTACAGTTTAAATTGTTTTTTTGCAAAAAGTTTTTAGTTTTATTTGTTTAATAAATAATACTAAAAACTTATTGTAAATTTTCTGTTTTATTTATAAAATTTTAAATTAAATTTTTTTTTTAAAAAGTAAAAAGGGAGTACAATTTAAATATTTATGTATATAAATAATAAAAGCGGCATCTATATATTTACTTTTTTTAACTAGCATTAGTTTATTACCTTAAAAAAGTATTTACTTACCCATCTATTATTAGTTATATAAATTAACTATGCTTACACGCATGTAACGTACATATAAAACGGTTGACATTGTCACAATTTTTCTTTAAATTTAAGTTTTATCCTGACATTAATTTCGAAGTTAACATTAATATTTTAAAACTGTTTGTTTGAAGCTTCTACCTTTTATGAAATGAAAGTTATAAGCAAAAAAAACTTAGGTTATTTCAAATTTCGACAAATTTTCTTAAAATCTCGTAGCTCTGAAATCGTTCCGATTTAACATTATGTTTCGAACAAAAATTTGACTCATTTTCGGCTACCTGATGCCTAACTTGTTGCTGAATAACCCTGTATATTTGTATTATTATAATAATAAGAATTAAAAATTACATAGTTTAAAAGGGCTGTCAAACTATCCCAAGTTTGTATCAAATACTTTACCTATTCACAAAATGAGATGTTTTAACTTATATAGATGGCGGTACATACTGAACATGTCTTGAACAAAGGTGTTTCCATCTCAATATGTGCTTCCAAGTTTTCAATAAATAAAGTGGGCGAAAAACAAATTTCCTCTCATGGCGGTTCAAAAATTTTTTTGGAAGTGTTATATATGTAGGTGCCTGGTTATCTCGGAAATCATTTAAAATTCATTATGCTTTGCTATCTCACGCTTATTATATTTCCATTTTCCCCTAAATATAAAGCAGTTTATTTAATTTTTAACACTTATACTTTTTATATTTTTTACGTTTAAAATTGTTTTAAACATTAAATTATAAAATAAAATAAGTTTATTTTCTTTACATTTAAAGTGTATTGTCAATTTTTAGAGGTATATTAGATATTTTGAACATTTTATTAATTACATTTATACGCACGCACAATATATAAGTATGTATGTACATGATTTTTTTAAATAAAGTATATATGTATGTAATTTACAAAAAAGATATTATTTGCTTTTGAATGTACACATGTACCTTTGTATTATTTTATATTTATTATAACATAATGCATCATAATATTTCTCTTAAACTAAAAACTATTTAAAATGTAGATTTCTTATGTATCACGTTCATAAATTAAAAAAAAAATAATTTTAAAAAATAAAAAGATATATTAATTTAAAAAATGCGTGTATGTAGTTCGTTTATATAGTAGAGTTTACGTTGTTTTTAACTCAAATTATATGTACTAAACTCCTTATACCGTATAAATTATATGAATTTCAAATGAAATAAACAAAAGCCAATGTTTCAAAAAGCAATACATTTACTTTAAACAAGTGAAAATTTTTTGTTAAAAAACTGTATTTAACTTAAATATTTATCAGTAATATACCAAGATTATATTAAATTTACCGTTAATTTTTTGATTTAATCAAATTTTAGCAAAGCTTGCCAATAAAAAGTCGAAAATAGAAATTTTGCTAATTTCGAAAATAGACAAACATTCAAGCAGAAAATATGCATATATATTTGATCACCCGACTAATTGTTCCGGGGGTTCTGTTCCCTTAAAATGCTCTCCTTATTGCGTCGCCGAAAGAAACTTGTGCCTTTAGATCACCCTTAAGTACGACTATATTGCTATTGCAAATTTTGACTGAACTGCAGCCTTCCCAAGTTTTCCTGAATTTTTTTTACACAATTCTCACTACACGTATTTTTTCCACTAAATATCGTTTAATTGTGTCATTCTATTCTATGTACGTGTCTTTATGTTTTTTACCATGAGATCATTTTTATTTCCGAGACTATACCGAGTTTTGCTTTTAATCTATTTTATGCAATCCTTTTACCGCCTAAGGCTAAATTTTGAAAATGGTAATTGTTATGATTTTTTTATTTGAAAATCGTAAGCACTTTTTTAGACAATATCAATAGTTTCTCATTATATTTCCTAAAAATGTTCTTACAATTTCCATTCGCTATGTAAAACATTTAATATATTATGTAATTTTTTGTAAATTATTGATGTGAAACTGTTCATTAAATTTTAATATTTACAAAATGTTTTCCAATTTTCATTTAGTTACAAAACAGCAATTTATATTATAAAATTTTCTGTTTTAAACGTTATTATTATCACTTCATGGCAGAACATATGGAATTGCAATCATTGTTTTGTCTTTTAATTTAAGGATGAAGTTGATGACTATTGATGACTTGGAATCTCCTTCCTTTAAATAATAAATTGTGATACATAACGGAGGCATTTTTAAAAGTTTTACATTTAATTAAAAATAAATATAAGCTTTTTTTATATATTTAAAATAAACCAAAAATTAAATAAAATTACTGAGCATTTCTACATTTTATAATATAATGTACATATATGTACATATGTAAGTACACAGTGTTCTAAAATAACACAGCTATTAAAAAATAATAATATTGTTAGCTTATTTAACAATATTTTTGCTGCATTTTTGTAATATGTATGCATGTAAATAGTATATATTAATTTTTATTGAAGAATGTTCCTCAAATACATAATTTGACATTTTTGATCGTGTTAGCGTTTTATTTTCTTATGTGTTTACTAGTTCTATATATTTATATTTTATTCGGTGGAAACGATTAAATTTTATATTACATCTGGGGTATTCTAAATATTTAGATCAACATAAAAATATTTACATATCTATGACATGGAACTGTAATACAGTTTTAAGGATTTTTAAAATATATTTTAATAACACATTTTTCAAACTCAAAAATACATAATTAATTTTATAATTTCTTTAAATGTTAGTTTGTATATTTATCTACATGTTGACATTATAGACGAAATGCATTCGTTTTTTTTTTTAATTTCGCAGATTGTAAAATATTGAATGTGGAACAGTGCTAGTTTTAACTGAAATAAAAGTTAAATTTTAATATCAGTGTTTTAGAAGTTTAATGTTTACCTGGTCTATTTTTATTGAAATATACATATATCTTAGGTCCAAAAATGTATTTATAAATTCTTAGGAAACTTATTATTACTACTATAAATCTCTTTTTTTAAGGAAGTTTATCATTAACCATAAAATTTTAAATCAGGAGTTTTTAAACAAAAAAGTGTGACCAAGCAAGTGGATTCATACTTTGTGACGTTATAGTTTATTTATATTGTTGATACTCAGTCGATGATAAAACTTCTGTTCTAGAATTTTTGGTGCTGATACTCTAAGAGCACAAAAGATAAATAAAATGCAACGGTAAATACTTTCCTGGAATTTTTAAAATAGGTGTTATTGAGAATCTTGCTTCTTAAGTTTCATATTTCGTTGTCTTGATAATTTTCACATTTTTAATTCGTAAATACAATTCTTTTGAGTATAAGATCTTTTTAAATATCAATTGCATTAACAAGCTTCGTTTAGAGCCAATTTTTAGAAGTTATTTAACCTAAAGTTTTGATTGTAGTGAACAAGTTAAGAAAATTAGTCATATCAATTCCAATCTCAAATTTGGCTTTACAGTCGATTTTTAACTATTCAATAGTTTGGAGACAATTTTTTAAAGATTATGCTGTCACATAGTATAAATCGATTTCATTGTTTGAGTAGCGATATCGTATATGGTATAGTTTGTATTTAATTACCACTTGAAATAATATTTTTGAAGTGGTAAACATGATAAGCAACTTGTGAATTCTGCATATTATATACATAGTTCTTCCACCAATTTTGAAATATATAATATACTATTATACTATTATTATTAAATTTAGTCACTGAATAATTTAGCTTTCTTTTTAATAAGTAACGGTTTTATTCCAACAACTCGCCCTTTCAACTGGCCGCGGAATCATCGCGTCGACTCATCAGTAAGAGTACTAATCAGTAAATGAACCAGATGACTACCCAAAACGACCTGAGATTGTTGAAATAAGACCTTAACTTATTGAAAAATCCACTTATAAAAAAAAAACAATGTGTTATTTTAATATAGATTTTTAGCTTAACTTATATTTTTATACTTATACAAATAATTCCTTGGCTTCCAAATTGTAAAAAAATGCTAGTTTTTAAAAATTATTAAAAGCTTATAGAACATTGCGTTTATATTATAAAACGAAATTAAAATTTAAATTGTCAAAGTTTTTTTTTACATTCATATATGGTTTTTAACATTAAACTTATTTTAACTAATTGTAAAACTTACTAATTTTATTACAATTTATGTAAAAAATGGCAAAATAAGTAGTTTGTGATGCTTTGCCAAAGTTAATGCAATTTTCCCAAAGTGGAAGTCAAAAATTTTTGTATTTTAGAACTTAAGATATAAATAATACAATGCGAAATAAATATATTTTGATTATAGCACATAACCCACATACATGTATGAAAAATTATATAGATATACGTATATTTATATTTATACATTATAAATGTATGTAAGTATAAATTTGTAAGAATGCAAGTATTTGCACAATTTTTAAAAACCTTCAATACAATTTACCTAGGCTACATCAGATTTTCTTAATTTGTCTTTAACTATAATAATTTGGTTTCTAAAGCTATTAAGTTTCATTTACTTGTAGCGTATTCTCTTATAATGCGACAGCATTTAAAACGATTAAAGAAAAAACAAGAAATTAAGAACCTGCATCTTTATATTTTTGTATTACGAGTAGATTGATAATCCATTGGATTATGGTTTATTATTTAAAAAATTATTTTTTTATATAAAATATTTTAATTAAGAATGAAGCAAAACAAATAAAGTTAACTATGTATTTATATTTTTTTCCGTCCAGTGATTATTAAAATTAATAATAAAAAAATAGCAGAAGACCTCCATGTACTAAAATATGAATTATCGGAGCCCGAAATTCAAAAATATTCTAAATAATCAAAATTAGTTAACTAACAAAACTGACAAACATTCAAGATATAGGTATTCGAAATTTGAAAAATGGAAATCACTTCAACTTTTCAAACATAGAACGTAATTTTTTGCAAAGATTATCTATGAAAAAGGCCTGATAAATTCGTTAAACGACAACGGAAAGCTAATAAATATAAATCTTTTATGAATCCTTTATGAATTTTATGTTTTTTCTTTAAAGTTTCAAAGTAACGCCGCATATAATAGAATATTTTATTATATGACATACATATATTAATTAATAATTTATTTTGTAAAAAAATAAATAAATTTTTCAAACTTATTAAATTAGAATTTTTGGATTTAAAGAATCACACATGCATTTGAATGTATTCGGTGTCGCCCATTCATTGTATGGTGTCCACCAAAGCCAGTACAACATTGATGTTCCCGGCCATGTGAAAAACTTTGACTATTTGGTATTTGATAACCTGGTGACATGTGTGCATGACTACAACAAGAGATACTTTCATTAGTACAAAAACGAAAAATAATGAGGGGCAAACTTAGTTATACATACCCGTGGCTACATATTCCACCATCAGATCTAGAATTGGGTAATGGTGGCAAGGAGAATGGGCAAAATTCTGGCATATCATTTTCAATAACTTCTTCAACCATTTTATCCAATCTTTCGATGGCTTTATTTTGTTGGCGTGCTAAAACTGATTTTCGATTGGTTTTTGTAGCAGGTGGTGTTGCGGAATCCTTGTTGAATGATATGTTCTTTTGATCTCTTCTTGAATTATTACGTAAAAATCTGAAATTTACAAAATTAATTATAATTTTTTATCAAACTTTGTATAATGCCATATACATATATGATATATGAATTAGGCAACCAAGCTGAGGAAGTAAATGAAAATTTCCAAATTCGTATGAAATTTGCCTGAAATGGGTTATTGGAAATTATTCATATGAAGGAAATTGACTAATATTTTTAACTATGCTGAATTCATATTATTTGCGTATTTAACATAAAAAATCATTACGTTTCAAATTAAAAAGAAACCAAAGTAGCTATCATCAATTATTACCAATCGAATTACATACAATATTTGATGGAAGTGAATTTCAAATGTCCAATTTTCGGTGGATTCCCTTCCCTATAGTAGGGAAGCGTAAATAAAATATATTTACAAGAATGTCGGTCTGTCTATCTGACAGTTAATAAAATAATAATAAAATTAATATATGTATGTCAGATGTCACAAAGTGAAGTTCTATTAAGAACCAAATTTACGCTTTTTTGGTATGTTAACTAAAACCTAGCCATCTATAATCTTCTGTAACACTTCCACTAAACAAGACGTTACATATCGCAGTTGGTTATTTGCTAATTTAGGAAAAAAATCTGATGTGATCAGCATATAACGACCGCAATATGAATCGTCTAGTTAAGTGAAAGTGTTATAGAAGATTATAAAAATGTCTTTTAACTACTTCTTTTAAATCTTTAGGGCATTAGTAAGCATTTAGTTAACATATCTAGAAAAATGTAAATGTGGTCTTAGTAGAGTTTCGCTTTATGCTATCCGAATTTCCTGAAAAGCTCGACAGTTAGTTGCGGTAGCAACCAGAATTCAAATATCAAATTTCAAGAAATTTCATCAATCTATTAACATTCCATATGTTAAAAAATGTAAAATTGGCTCTCAGTTTCGTTTCGAACCCGACTGTTTGAAAAAAAATTTATAGATTCATTGTTTTATCACTCAAAATTTTAATATTAAATTTCAAGGAAATTGGTTCATTGTTTCTTTTTATAGGGCAAAAATCTAAAATTGGCCCGCGAAAAAGTCCAGTTCTCAAGGCTAGATATATTCCAAAAGTTGATCAATTCGTAACATAACCAAAACAAACTCACATATAAAATTTAATGAAAATCGGTTAAGTTGAACTTGAGATACACGTGTGCACACACAGCCAGACAGATAGACTGGCAGACCGAAAGACCGACATTTCTCTAACAATAGTTTATTTACACTTTCCTACTATGGAAAAGTGCCTTCCCACCAAAAACTTGATATGCAAAATTTGTTGCCATCACATAACCTCCCTTATTGTAAGCAATGCGGTCGGTAGAAATAAATAATTATAAAGTTAATTATTGTTTTAAAAAATAATGGAAATACTCAAAATTTAAACAAGAAATATGTTAATCGGAATACTTCGGGTTGTAAAACATTAAGAATTGTTTTTACAAATTTTGTTACTTCTAAGAATAGTCTCAGCTTAACAGATATATGTGTACTTGACATTATTTTCTTTACATAAAAAAATAGTTTACCGTTTTTTACCGACATCTAAGTTGTTTTTGTTACGCTCAATTGCTGGAGCTGTAGTCGGCGGCGATTCTTGTTCCATGGACGCCAATTCCTCTTCGGTAAATTTATCTGGATTACTTGGTTTCGATTTTGATGGTGCTGTACCAATTCTAAATGGTGGTGTTGGACTAAAGCAAGATGATGTGGGTGATGATGGTGCCATAGAGTTTCGACGGCTTATTTCTAAATCTTCTAGAAAATCTTCTGTATCACTAATTAATGAACCAAACACATCGCTAGGACTGCGCATGAATACGTGTCCAGTTGAATTAGAACGTGATTCTCTACCGCGACTAAATAAATTTCTAACAGGTGAGTTTGCAACACTACGTCGAGCAACATCTTGAAAAGTTACGGGAGAATAAATGCGTCTATCTTCACTAGGACTCATTGTTGTACTTGGTTGCGCTATAGTAACACTTAAACGTCTATCGTTTGGTATTGAATTGTTACGTTCTTGCTGCTGTTGTGCTAATGGAACTGGATTTAAGACACTCTTATCTAATTGAAGTGGTTGCCTACCTTCACGTTCTTCTAACCAAAAAGTTTTCATAGCACCTTTACCTTTTACATCGACTTCTCCTCGTTCTCCAACTTTATAAAGTTGACTAAGTAATAATTTTGTAGGTTCTGATATGTGAATTTTCATAGCAATACTGGATGATTCCATTCGAGATGCAGTATTTACTGTATCTCCAAAAAGACAATAACGTGGCATTTTCAATCCAACAATACCAGCCACCACCGCACCTGAATGTACACCAACTCGAATCCGTAAATGTTGACCAGTTGATGGATCTTTTAAATCTTGAATGGCATCAATCATATCTAATGCCATATCACATACTTTTTCCGCATGATTTGTATCTTTTTCTGGAGCACCAGATACAACCATATATGCATCACCAATAGTTTCCACTTTATAAACATTGTTACGTTCTGTTAATGTGTCAAATATTGAATACATTGCATTGAGCATTGATACAACTTCCATAGGAGTAATACGACTACAGATTTCGGTAAATGTGACTACATCAGAAAATAAAATTGATACACTATCGAACATTTCGCATGTGTCTATTGGGTTTTCCCCGCGTCTCAAACGATCAGCCACCTGTTTTGGTATCATCTGATATAAAAGTTCATCAGTACGTCGCATTTCTTCATCAAGTTTTCGCATTGATTCTTCTAATTTTTTTGATTTTTGTTGCTCTTGATCTAAAGCTAATTTTAGCTCCACAGACTGTTGTGTACCAGCTAACATTAAATCTCTGCTAAAATCATGCATTGATAAATCATTTATATAGAGGCCTGTACTTATCAAAGAAGTTAAATCTGGCATTACTGGAGTTGCTAAGAACATTATCATTCGCCAAGTTTCCATGTAAATCATTTGCCCTTAAATAATTTTCATAGATTGTTGTATCTGTTTAACATATAATAGAAAAATTACCTTTTAGTCGTAACGTTTTTTCTGGTTCAGTTCCATCTTCATTTAAAATAAGTTCCTTTTTCTTCGAAAAATCAAATCGCTCAGGTACTGATTCAACAGTCACCAATTCAAAAATGTTATTCGTTCTATTTAAAATCTAGTAAAAAAATTAAATTTGGAGATGCAGAATTATTAAATGTAGAATTAAAATTAGGAGAATGAAATTTACCGTTTGAAATTTGAAGGCAATTAATGGTCTCACTAAATCAAACCAGTTTGTAATTTTATTCCCAACTAATTCTGGTAAAATTACCATTAAAGAGTTACCAATACTTCTCACAACCATGTCGGAACTGAATTTGCATCAAAATGAAAATTTTTGTTAAAAGATTTAGAAATTTTATACGTACAACTCACCTAAATACTATACAAAATGGAAATATTTCAAATAGAACATGAGCACTAATAGGCAAATGCTTTTCTTCTCTTGTCATAGCCAATGAAGCTAACGTAAAAGCTCTGTTGTCAAATGTTAGTTGAAATGTTACATGTACAGTATCAAATAAAATTTCTTCTCTAACCAATTCGATATGCATTTCTTTATGATAAAAATATCTGGCGACCTATGACAGAAGTTTAAAATGGAAATAAGTCCAGATTCTCTTAAATTAAACGTTATAAATCGAAAAATGAAAAACAAAAAACCATTTAGTAATTGCTTCTTTAATGATAGTTGTCTTATGTTAAAAATTTATCAGAAAGGTCTTTTTCAACACTAGTTAATTCATAATTTTGGAAAGTAATGAATTATAACTCCAACAATTTGAAGAATTATTTAAAAATTATGAAAAAAAATTGAGCAAAATGTACATTTCTCAGTAACTTTCAGTAATTTTTACAGTGATGAAATTTATTGAAGTAATGCAGCTCACTCCATATGGAAATCCTCACACTTATCCAGGAATACAAAACTGAGAATATTCAACATATGTGTGAAGCCGGTCCCGTTGTATGGCTCCGAAACATGGCTAGTGAAAAATGAATGCACAAATAAAATGCAGGTATTCATAAATAGGAGCCTAAGGATCATCTGCCGTGTTTTCTGGCCCAGACGAATCAGCAACACAGACCTCTGGGCTTTAACCCACCAAGAACCAATCGCAAGGGTTATAAAGAAGAAAAAGTGGGGATGGATAGACCATACATTTTGACGCCCGCCCGAAACTATCGCAAGACAGGTGGAGTGGAATCCGCAGGGAAGAAGAAGTGTTGAACGGCCAAAGAATACGTGGTAAAGAACAATAAAGAAAGAAATCGCCACGGCTAACATGACATTGGCAAATGTAAAGAGAATGGTCACTAACAGAGTTCATTGGAGAAGCTTTGTGGAAGCCCTATGCTCCCAAGGGGAGTAAAGCAAGAACAAAAATGCAGTTTACTGCGATATGTTAATATAAATATACAATATTTTTACAGAAACACATATACTGGGACTAAATAGTTTTTTTCTAAATTCCAAGTGCTTCAATATCTTGACATTTGGAATTTTATATTAGAATAAAATTCTAAAATATCCAATGTTTACTAATCACTAAAATCCTTTTAGTAATCACAATTTTTGAAAGAGACACATATGAATAACTTCTGATTAACGATGTGTTGTAATTCTGCCTCGATATTTTAATTTGAATAACTCAGCTACAAGAAAAGTTATAAATTTTTGTCAGGATTTAATGTAAATAATACAGTTACCACATATTTAGGGGGACTTCTCTTTTTAATTTAGATTAAAGTGTTAAATCTTATCTTCAACAAAAAAAAAACACAAATGTGAAAACTTTAAGTGAAAAGTGCTAAATCTCTTTCTCAATTTTTAAAAATATATTTCAAAAAAATCGTGATCAGCAACTCTTTCCCAGAAGATGTTGATTCTGTTATAGAAGATAACCCTCTGATTATAATTGACGGTATTGAAATTTGTAAAAGTCTTTCTCATGCATCTTTGATATGTGTTTCGTCATCTCTATTTATGTTTAAGGAACTTGTTTTGAGATGAACCTATTATTTTTCACGTTTTATTTTTAAATCCACGGATTTTAGCTGTAATTTTCTTGTAAATAAAGCAATATAAATCAATTAAGCCAGTCGCCCCAGTTAAAGCAAAATCAAATTTTTGTGGGATAAGTTTTTGACAAAAATTAGAAAAATATAATTAAAAAAAAATAAAATAAAATATGTTACCTCTCTGATCTGTCCCATAGTATAGTACACAAAACCTCGCCGTTTTGAGCGATAATGTAATGTCAATCCCTGTTTTGTTTCATTTTCACATATGAACGATGGTGCTCGCATTCTTGGATATGAAAATTTTAAATACTCATGTAAATTGTCTAAGCCATTTAAAAAATCTCTCATATGACGTCCTAATACTGAGAGCACTCTATCATAACCATATTGTCCAACAAATGCTACAAAATATACACCCATTTGGTCCATAAATTCTCTTTCGGAAACCCCCAATACCTTAATAGTAAATAGAAATTGTTATTGATATAAAATTTATCTGTTGTTTTTGTGTATCATGAAATATACCTGTTGGGCTTTTTTTGCTAATTTATTAAGTAAATTCTCTGGATACACTTGATGTACACTAAATGCTGGCGCGTCAATTCCAGCTTGACGTCGAATATCTTCCCATTTTTCTTCACCGTATACAGCTTTAACATATTCTGAGAGATTTTCCAATAGCAGGCCATACATGATGAAAGTGGTAAAATTGGACGAGCTATGATATTTAAAGTAAACTATAAATTGTCCTTCACACAATGATCAAATGATTGATCTAGAACGAAAATAAAGGAATCATAGAGTTACATAACAGTTTTATATTTAAGTTTGGAAGAACTAGGTTGTGTAATAATATTTTATTATTCAATAAATTATAAAGCAAAAGTATAAATTTAGTAATTTAAAATTTTTAAAATTAAGAATTTTGATAATATTTAAAATATAATTTCAAACACTTTCGCCATCGACAAGGATACTAAAATCGGAAATCAATTTTAACAGAAATTTATATTAGAATATAACATTTATTAAAAAAACATTAAATTTACTGTCCGAAAAGCAACCGAAAGGTGTGAGAGTAGCGTGTAATAGGAAATTTGGTGTCGTACTGAAAGCAAACAAGTTTAAAGTTATTCTTTTTTTGACAATTTTTAGCAAAAAAAATTACGTTGTTTGGGCAAAAAACCAATTTAGGTTAAATTTAAGTGAGTTTTTTTGTGAATGAGTTATAAAGAAAATTATAATTAAGTTGCTTTTTCAAAACTTGCTTGTTGCTATAATTCAATAATCATGGTAGAGAAATTCAATTATACATAAATAAATTCGTAAATAAAAGTTTATTAAGAGTTTATGAAAAAAATTTAAAAAATGATGCAAGAGAACCTAAAATATTTTAGTATATTATTATACGTTCAAGTATTGATTACTGGTTTACTGTAGTAACGTTTCCCACGAAGTTTTTTCCAATGACATGCGGTTCGAGGATTCTGCAAGACTATTGCAGGAAAAAGCTTAAGGTTTAGTTTCGATTTAAGTTTTAGTCTGCTTTAGGTTCGCGCACAGCTTTGGGTACCTTTAAGTCTCAAAAATTTTGTTATTGTTGCACCACGGTTGCTGGTCGCCGGGAATCCTCCAAAACGTAGAGCCAATCATTAAATGATACTGTGAATTGTTCGAATTAGCGTAAAGTGTCATAGGATTCTTTTTTTAAAAAACTTTTTTTCAATTTATTCTAAAACTATTTTGGTCTTTGCTGATTGTGATATAGAAGGAGATCTTATTCCATATTGACATCTACTATTTGACATACTTTCGTAAAATGGTAAATTTTTAATTGGAAAAATTAATTTTCCGTAAAAATAAATTACTAAAAATAGATTTTTTTCGTTTGCACCTTTAAGATACTTGATTTGGAGTAAATGTTCGTAATCGTTCATAATGGCAACATATTACCCATATGTATAGGTTAAAGGAAAAAGTTTCTTTAAGTTTAAATATTTTTGTTTAGTAGACAATTTAATCAGGACAATTGTTTGTAGCGTTAGCGAATGGTGACATAAATATGAGCAAAAGTAAAATAAAAACTGGAAAAGTTCTAATTAATACAAATTGACAAATCAATGGGAGACATATCTCTTGTTTTTAAATACTTTGAAGTGTTCCTGTCTAATAGTTTTTCTAATAACATCGAATTTTTCAAGGGCATAGAAATATTGGTACGCAATTCGGTTTATTATCAGTTCAGATGTGTTGAGAATTTTTGGTTTTTCTACATTTTAATTATAATTTTTATTATTTTATTTTAAGCTTAAATAAAATTAGATAAAAAAAGCAATTTGTTCCCAAAATCATTGGTGTTTTTCAATTGTGAGTTTTAGTATGAATATATGAAAAAGCTTCAGTTCAGTATGACTTGGATTAAACCAATGGTTTGTAATGTAGCATGTTTCCCTTCAACAAGTGAAAATACTGCATTATTAAAATTGCTTTCATTCACATACAAAAAAATTTCAAAAATTGCATACAGTTAGGATGAACAATGTATGCAATCTTTGAAATAAAACAAAAAAATAATTTAAGGAATTAACATAATTTAAGGAATGAATCTTAATTCATTTATAAGGATTTGGCTTGCAGTCTCGCAGATTAAGGTGCCAAAAATTACAATTTTACATATTTTGAGATGCAATAACTTGAGAGGGGTTGGAAAAAAATTTTCTTTTAACGAAATGAACTGTTTATTAGTGTCTAAAATTTGCTATAATTCCAGATTCCTACAGCCAGCGGTCTAGAAGAAGAACGATATCAAAAATTTTGAAAGAGATTTTAGATAACGGTAAAAGTTGACGGTCATTTAGTTTTTGTAAAGTTCAAATATGGTATGCCGCGATTGAAGATATCCACCACTATTTTTTTGCAATAAATAATCAAAAACTTCCATTTTTAGGGTTTTGGGAGTTATAACTTTTAAAGGAGGAAATAGGTGAAAGCTTTCTATGGAAATAAGTTTTTAGTAAAGATACGTAGGTACGTGTGAAAGATGAAATATGTATTTCAATTTTCCATCTTTCTGGGTGTAGAAGTTTTGGAAACGGGTCCATGGATTAGCGGACAGAGTAAAACTAATAAGCACTTTTTATTTAAATTTTTTTAAAAATGATTCTGAAGAAATATGAATGTTATAAATGCAATGTCAAACGAGATAAAAAAATTATATTTTGACTGAATGATGGCTTTTTAAATGAAACATAAATGAACTATCGTTTTCGGGCTGGTCAAATCAAAACTTTTTTCCACATTGAATCTTTTTGAAACTAATTAATACGAAATCATCTTTGATAAATTAATTTTATCTTTGATTGAATCCAATACCTACTTATATTTGGGTGCCATGCCATAAAATAGCATATTGTACATAAGGCATTGTAATGTTTTACTTTTTAAATTAGCAAAAGTTCATCAGTTTCTATTTAGTTGGTACGATTCAAATATATCTTAAAATATAAATTTAGAATATGAAATGCAAATTCATTGTTTTCATTTTAAATTTTTGAAATACAAATATTGACATTGCAACGTTCAATTGAATTTCTTCAAAGCAAATGGATTTTTAAAGGGGTACAATTTGTATTTACTTAAGTCATTACTAAATCACATTAATAAAGTTCAAGATTTTTCATGTAATTATTTTTCTAGTAATCTAAAAATATAGTAACTATCAAAATATAATTATAAAAGATAAATTAATTGATTAAAATAATTTGACAGGCAATTTGTCCTGTTGCATTTGGTGAATTTTCTTTATAGCTTTAATTGTTTACTTATAAATGTTTACCGTATTGGCGGGAGATCAAGTGCACTGTTATAATAATCTTAATTGTTGATATTTGTTTTTGATAACAGTCTTTATTAGAAAATATAATTAGTCGGTTTATTGACCTCTAAGAAGAAAAAAATAATTTTTTGTTTCATCAAAATTACAAAAAATCTTAAATAGTTTGTTGCTATAAATGGTATTTACTTTCTACACTTAATTAAATAGGAAATTTTTGTTTTCACAATTATCTGGTAAATAATAAAAGTTTATTGTGTTGAGTAGGAGAAAATCAAATGAACATTATTTCATTTTTCAAGAAAAGCACGGCAATTTTATAAGAAACTACATTAAGGAAGGAAAAGAATGCGATTTTTAAATTATATCTTTGTCAAATAATTCGTGGTAAAAATGAATTGGAAATATTCATGTGTCTTGTAGTAATAGGAATATTAAGCTTTTGCTGTTATTTCATGGAACCAAAAAATATTCCATTAGGTATTTGCAAAATGAAACTGTTTCAAATTTTTAATTACTTTAAAAACTAAAATATAATTCAGGGATTTTATTACTTGTAGTCTGTCTTGTTATAGTTAATTCAGCTGCACATGTGTACATGTACATATATGTTATGTAAAATGAAATTTAACTAATTGGGTATGCAACTTTTGTAGAAAAATTGAAATCAACAAGAAGACTGGGAAAATTGTACGCATTCTTAGAAAGTTTAAATTTGTTTTGGGTATTGAGGAAAATATATAAAACATATTCATTAATTCTATTTAAAAACTCCATTCGTTAGAAACGTAATAAGTTTTATATTAAACAAGTTTATTAATTTCCGAATCCTAAATTTTCAAAAATATTAAACTTTTCAACAAGTATTTAAATTTGTAATAAATTTTTCCAAGAATATAATACATTGCATTTAAAAATAGTTTCAAACCACCAATAATGACTGTTTTTGTTAGCAAAATTTTTTCAATTACATATACAGTTGATTTCAGTCAAAAAAATTCAGGACTTCAAAGGCTTGATTAGTATGAAAAACAAACATATTTTCCACAAAGTAATGCACATATGTAAGATGTAAAATAAAATTAAAATATTTTTCACGTTCAAGAAAATTTAAGAAAAACCCACGTCTAGACTAATATCGATTTTGGCAAAAAAAAAGTGCCTGTGTTTGATAATATGGTAAATTATTTTTTCTATGAAGCATCGTTATATTCTCAAAGCATTTTTTTGAATTTCTATTCTTTGTGAAGAATGTGTTTGGTTTAAATGGTTTGAATTTATGCTGCACTTTGAGTTTTGTGCTGTATTTGCTTTATACTTGAAATAACAAAAGTGTTAACCAAATTTGTTAATTTTATTGTTATTTCAACTAAAAGCTCTAATTGTTTTCCATTAGAAATGATTGTAATAAGACTTTAAACTAATAATGTTATAATTTCAAATGAAATATTTTTTTTTTTTTGCATAATTTTAAGAAGTTCAAGAGCCATCTTAAATCTTGTGTACTAAGAGTTAATAATATTTAACGTCAGAGGTTTTTCATATACAACAAAGTAGTTAAATATAATTTATAAAATATATTTTTAAGATTTCAAATATTCATGTCGAATTATTCTGGATTTTATTTACAAAAAAAATTTTTTAGACAATCAACACATACTTAAGAAAAGGCACCCAGTTTGCGATGTAGAAAAAAACCACAATATTATAGGGTTAAAAAAACCAAGTATTACACGTACTAAATTGTATTTTATAAAGATATCATATGTGTTCATTAATCAACACCGAAAAATTAGAGCACAAATATTAACTGAAATAATAACGAGCATCAAAATAAACTAATCAATACAATGCTCAAATTTCTTTTCTTGTTTTTAATGAAATTGCTGACACCCAATAATTAATTTTTCAGGATTTCAAACAGAGAAAATAAAAAAATCTAA